GGACTGCCTGGTCCATTAGCTTCCTTAAATCAACAAATAGATAACTTAACCAAACAAATAAATGTTGCAACTCCCTTATGCAGCTATCAACTCCTTCATCAGCCTTTAAAAGCCTTGTATTCCTTTCTTCCCAAGGATCAAGCTAAATTTATAGTTAAACAGTGTCCTCAATGTGCTCCACTTCCTCCTTCAGCTCCCAGGTCTGGAGTCAATCCCTGTGACTTACGGCCTAATATGATTTGGCAAACTGATACAACTCATATAACTGAGTTTGGAAAACTTAAGTATGTTCACTGTACAGTAGATATTTATTCAATTTAAGTATATTCACTGTACAGTAGATACTTATTCCTTGACTTTAAATGCCACAGCACATACAGGAGAGACAATGAAGGATGTAACTAAACTTCTTATTCAAACATTTTCAATTTTGGGGATACCTCATCAAATAAAAACAGATAATGGGCCTTCTTATGCTAGTAAAAATTTTCTAGCAATTTTGCCAAACCTGGGGTATTTCACATACCACAGGCATTCCTTAGAACCCCACAGGACAAGCAATAATAGACAGACAATTCAGGCACCTCAAAAATCAAATAAAATAAAAGGAGGAAATCACCTATACCTGGGATAACAGCACAGAATTCTCATTTCTTTTTATTTTTATGTGTTTGAGTGTATCGCCTGCATGTATGAGTGCACCCGTGTTGTGCAATGCTGCAGAGGTCAGAAGAGGGCATGGGATTCCCCTGGAACTGGAGTTAAGGATGGTTTGTAGCTGCCATGTGGGTGATGGGAACGGAACCCGTCCTCTGCAAGAGCAGTGAATGCTCTTAACCACTGAGCCATCTCTCCAGCCCCAGAATCCTCATTTCTTTATACACAGGCCTTTACTAACTTTACATTTTTTTTACACTAAATGATCGAGGAATTTCTCCAATGGCAAACACTGGCAGGACTGACTGTCCCACAGCCCTTGCCACAGGTGCTTTGGAGAGACCTTGAATCAGGTCTCTGGAGTAAAACTCCAGCTCCTCTAGTAACAATGGGGCAAGGGTATGCTTGTGTCTTTCCAGAAAATGAATCCTCCCCACAGTACTGCTCAAGATACATCAGACCACTCAACCAAGCCTCTCACAGCAAAAATAGCCACAGTGACCCTGGGAAAGCGGAGGACACCTGGACACCTGAAATGAGGACTGAGCTGACTAGCTCGTCTTCCCATCCCCTCCGTGCACTACGCTTAATTAACTGTTATCTCCAAAAATTCTTCCAGAATCTACTGACTGAGCAGCCTGTATGACTGCCCAAGTCACAGCCTCCTGTGACCTGGGGAATGATGAAGAACCTGGTGGACAGCATCTAAGAGTTGGGACAATACAATGCCAATGCCAAGATATATCTAAACCTGAAGTTCTTCTTGTCTATGTTCTAACTATGCTGACTGTAAATAGCGTAAAAGCTGAGACATGGGCTGGAGAGATGACTCAGCGGTTAAGAACACTGGCTGTTCTTGCAGAAGACCCGGGTTCGAATCCCAGCACCCACATGGCAGCTCCAGGGGATCTGATAGCCTCTTCTGTCCTCTGTGGGCATTGCATAACATGGTACACTTACCTACGTGCAGGCAATACACACATACACATAAAATACAAATAATAAAATTTTTTTTTTTTAAAAAAGCTGAGACGTGTCATCAATACTAATGTTAAGGGTGAACTCATTATAGGATCAGGTTTAGTACTCACAAGGATGTGCATGGCCACCTGGACCCATTATATGGGAAAAGGATGGGCAATGGCCAAATGGATGATTTCTTAGGTTGGAAAAACACTAGTAATCAGAACTTAAAAGCTCAGTATGATTTCATTATTTTTAAAGAGGCACCAACTTTAGAAGACATTGGAAATTATAAAATATAGCTGTGTGAAAAAACAGGATCCTTCTAAAGACATTGAAATAGATCAACTGTTATCTTTACAGCAAATTAGCCCATCCATGTCTAATGGTCTAGACAAAAACTTACGGATCTGCCTTGCACAAAGAGGTTATAGTTTCTGTATACGAGGGGACCCTTCCATACCAGGATTATTAAAGAGAAACTTGTTAGAAATAAGAGTTCACATATACTTATAAAAAGACAACTGAGGACACTATAGAAAATCAAAGACAGCGTATTAATAAGACAATTAAGGGCTTGCCTGGGTTTCAAACTATTGATAATCATTCTTTATGCTTTAATTGTACATCTATTCCCTTATGTTGCAACACTACTTCAAATCATACCTAAAACGAGGCAAACAATCGTCTACTGGATAGACTTTCTTTTGTAATAATGAATCTTATGCTGCACTGCTCTATGGAGTCCTCTGGTTATGTGCTATTGGGTGCAAAACGCCCTTGCTATTAACCCCTCCCAAGAGGAAAGTGAGTAGATCTCCGCCTGAAAATTGTGATGACTCTCTTCGTTTGCTTGACCCAACAGCTGTAGCTGATGGATCCACCTTTCTGTCCCCTCCCTGGTTTGGTAACTGGAATGCAAAAAGAAATATCTAAAATTGCTTGCATAATAAATAAGACAACCAATGTAACTGCAAAGGTATTAGGGGAACTTAATCAAGAAATGTGTGAACACAGATCTGCTGTATTACAAAATAGAGCTACTATTGATAATTTACTGTTAAAATATCCTATGGGTTGCCAACAATTTCCAGGAATGTTTTGTTTTAATTTATCTGATTTTTCACATACAATAAAGCAACAAATTGATGATTTACATAAGGAAATAAATATCTGAGTTTTCTGTACCATGGCCAAAATGGCTTCAATGAATTAGTTCATTTCTGGGCCCAATACTAATTGGTGTACTTTTTGGGGCACCACTAATATTACACTTTCTTTCCTCCTTATTTAAAAAAAAATAGAAAAGGGGGAGATGTGAGACCAAGATGGCCCGACTTAGGACAAGATGGGCCTGAACTTTTTTTTTTTTTTTTGTTTTTTTGAAACAGGATCTCCCTGTAGCCCCAGCTCACCTGTAACTCACTATGTAGACCAGGCTTGGCCTTGAACTCACATAGATCCGCCTGCCTCTGCCTTCCAAGTGCTGGGACTACAGGTGTGCACCACCACGCCCAATGGGCCTGAACTTTTAAGCAGGCTACAGCCTCTGCTTAAAGGGACAAAGCACTGAAAACAGAGTCTCACAGCCCTGTCATGTGGCACACTGCAGTGACTAGCAGAAGGCAGCTGGCCAGGTTATAAGTTTACAGTCCCTGGGGCTGGAGAGAAGGCTCAGCAGTTAAGAACACTGACTGTTCTTGCAGAAGACCCAGGTTCGAATCACGGCACCCACACGGCAGCTAACAACTGTCTGTAACTCTAGTTCCAGGGGATTCAACAGCCTCTTCTGTCCTCTGCAGGCATTGCATGACACGGGTGCACTTACTTATATGCAGGCATAACACTCACACACATAAAAATAATAAATAAAGGGGCTGCAGAGATGGCTCAGTGGTTGAGAACACTGGTTGTTCTTGCAGAAGACCCGGGTTTGAATCCCAGCACCCACATGGCAGCTAACAACTGTCTGTAAGTCCAGTTCCAGGGGATCCGACACCCTCTTCTGACCTCCATGGCACTACATGACATGTGTGCACTTACATACATGCAAGCAACATATGCATACACATAAAATAAAATAATAAAATATTTTTTAAAGTTTACGGTCCCTTTGTTCTAAGAAAAATATCTTGAGTTCCTTGATCTAGGAAGGTTGTAAAGACAACCTAATCAATAACACTAAGCATGTGTGTAATTAAAATTAAGACATCTCTGTTAATGGCCCTGGCACATTCCCTGGTCTTTAATAAATGACCCTCTGCAAACACTAAGGATTAATCAACCTGTGTAACACATAATACAAGCACCATTTGTCTTTGTCTAAGTTGGACTTTACATGCACCCTGGAGCCTGCATGTACCCACTAGCCCCTCTTTTGTATATAAGCTTGCTATTAGAGAATAAAATTGGCTTGCTTTAAAGAAACACAGGTCTCTGTCCCGGCCAGTATCACTTTCACAGAGGCAAGGCTTCCCCGCTAAGCAAAGCAGACTTGGATCTCTGCACTGCCTGTAGTCCAGTTGGCCTGAAACTCACTGTGGAGACCAGGCTGGCTTCGATCATACAGAGACCTGCCTGCCTCTGCCTCCTGAGGGCTGGGATTTAAGGCATGTACCACCATAATCGGCCCTCAAGAGTCCAGTTTTTTGACATAAGGTCTCACTCTGTAGCTGGCCTAGGATTCCAGCCTGAGTGTTGGGATTATAGGCATGAGTTGATAGAATATAGGAATTTCAGAAGTGCCACAAGTTTCATTAGAGGAAGCCATAAAGACATAAATTCCTTCGAGTGGCTATCTGGCCCTAAATTGGCAGTCTGGCCTTGCTCAAGCCTTATCCACTGTTCACTCCCTGGACTGAGAGACTGTGGAGCCCACCTGTCTCCTCTAGATAACATGCCTGCCAAGTCTAAGGAAATAATCTTAAGAAGAAGACCCTGAATCATTCCAAAGACACCAAACCTGGGCACTAATTCAACTTCCCACAAAGTGCAGCTCTGTCTCACAAATTTCTTATAAAACCCCCGGTTTGTCTAGTTGTAGATGCTTGGTCCCTCAGCAGCCTCTACCTTTCACTGTATCTTCTTTGAAGATATATTACTTGCCTGTTGCAGGTCTGGCTCTGTTTTCTTGTCTTCTATGCCTCTATCTTTCCTTTTATTCTCTAAAAATCTAAGAGTCACCAAGCCCAGCTTAAAATCTCATTTCTTATTTATTTCTGAATTTCTCTGATGACCAAAGAGGCAGCATAAGGAGGTTCTGGAAAGACAGTGCCATCTATGGACTTGGGAGCCTCTCTCCAATTAACATTTAAACATATCTAAATTATTTTGAGAAGAAAAGATTTGGCTTAAGGGTGGTGAGCTATGTCTCTACTTACCTTTCAATCCCTTCTTGGGTTTTGGGGCCTAAAGTAGGAAAAACAAATCACATTAACAAAATCCAACAAGGACCATGTATTGAAACTTGAAGAATAAGCACTCGGGAGGCAGAGGCAGGCAGATCTCTGTGAGTTCAAGGCCAGCCTGGTCTACATAGTAGGCCAGCTGGGGCTACAAGGAGACCCTGTCTCAAAAAGACAAAACAAAGAACTTGAAGAATGAATTGTTTTTCTTTTTTCCTGGTCAGCAGAGGAAGTAGTACCACTGGCATTTATAGACAGAAGTCCTTCCTGTTTTCCTACAGCTCCCAAGAATGAACTTACTCAGAGCCCAGAATGGTCCTTACCAGCAGTGGTGCTAAAGGGTGACAGAAATTTCTCTTCTCCCGACTTCTAGACACCACACACAGAAGCCTTCCAGTCATATGCACTATAACTAGAAATGCTTTCTTCTGTTCTGTGTGCCTGAATCCTAGTCACAGTTGTTTAAAGATGCTTCCAGCAGGAAATTGAGAGGCTCAGGAGAAACCTTGCTCACTGCTTGAGTTTCCCAGTGCTATTCCCATCACTTCTCCAGGGCCCTGGTCCTTGCCCACCCAACTCCTAGAATACTCCATGCTGTAAAGACGTTCAGGGTCCAGGGATGGAGGGATGGGGTTTTTATCTCCACACATCTTACTCTGCATTCTGCCTACCATTGTGGCCTTTGGGCACTTCTTGCAGCTCCTTCACACACTGTCCAGCTCACTGGCATTCCTGCCCAGCAGGCTCATCCTCCCTAATAGAGAAAATTAAAGGAGCTGCTTAAATATGATGTCGCTTAGCTGGGCACAGTGACATCCTCTTGAAGTTCCAGCACCTGGGAGGAAGAAGTAGAAGAATCAGGAGCTCAAGGTCATCCTCAAACATATAGCAAGTTCAACGCCTTTTTTGAGACCCTGTCTCAAAAAATCAATAAATATAAGGGGCTCAAGATCACTCTGGCCAAAAGAAAAGAACATACTGTTCTTGCAGAGGACTCAAGTTTGGCTCCCAGAACCTACGTCAGGTGACTCATATCTGTCTGTAACTCCAGCTCCAGGGGATCCGACACTCTCTTCTGTCCTCTCCTCTGAGAGTATCTACATTCATATGCGCATTACCCCCCCCACATATACACATAATTAAAATATTCATGTATATATACTTACCAGTGCTTCATTGCAAGGATGTCAAGGATCCTTCTGTCCTCTCCTCTGAGAGTATCTACATTCATATGCGCATTACCCCCCCCCACATATACACATAATTAAAATATTTATGTATATATACTTACCAGTGCTTCATTGCAAGGATGTCAAGGATCTTCTCATTTAAAAGGTGAAAACTTATTTCTATAAATCAAGAATTCCTGAGCTGTGGGCTGGCAAGATGACTCAGTACTTGCAGGCAGGCCTAACTACCTAAGTTCAATCCCCAGAGGAGGGAGAGAACTGACTCCTGAAAGTTGTCCTCTGACTTTCATGTGCATATGTGTACCCCCATAAATAAATAAATTTAATTGAAATATTAAAGTTTAAAAAAAATTCCTGAGCTGGGTATGGTAACACACACTTGGCCTCAATCCCAAACACACTTGGAAGCTGAGGCAGGAAGATCCCAAGTTTCAGGTCAACCTGGGCTATATTACAAGACCTTGTTAAGAAAAAGAAAACCTGGTATAGTAAGTAGCTCACACCTGTATGAGTTGGGGAACTTTGGCCATATATAGTGCGTTTCTGGGCTACAGTGTGTGTGTGTGTGTGTGTGTGTGTGTGTGTGAGAGAGAGACTGATGAGTCGAGAGAAAGAGATAGAATGATCATGAGACAAGAGAGAGAGAGAGAGAGAGAGAGAGAGAGAGAGAGAGAGAGAGAGAGAGAGAGAGAGAGAGAGAGAGAGAGAGAGAGAGAGAGAGAGAGAATGATCATACAAGAATTCTTTATTGGGCCTTACCCTGTAAGTGGCAAGGAACTGTTGTGCAGGCAGCGCCCAGTACAAGGCCTGGGTGTGAGCTTCGGTTACTCCTTGTCACAGCTCTCAGTGATGGTGAAAATTTTTACCTGCACTCTGGCTGCAGCTCACTCCCTTGGGAACAGATTTTCCCACAATCCCCTCCCTCTTTCTCCCATCCTCCACTAGATCAAAACCCACCTTTGCATGCCTGGGCAGAAAGGCGTCGGAGGCACTCATCTGTGTCCCGGGTGTGCCTCTCCTCTTACTGGGATGCAAAGCGTATCTGGGGCTGGGGACTGGGGGGAATGCTTGTTTCTCTTGTGCAATGGCAACTTTGGCGACCTACAAAGCCAAACGCGTTATGGCTCAGAACACACCAAGGAACCTCCCGCCCATCCTGTCTCAGCTGTCCAGACGGCGGCATGCAAGGAGGCCCAGGGTAAAGTGGCAACCTCGCATCTACTCGGTCAACTCTATGCCAAACATTTTAAAAATCGCGAGCCCGCCCCTCGGCCGCAGCAGTTCCGAGTCTCGCGACAGGCCGGGACCTGCCTCTCAATGGTCCAACTCCCGCGTGCCCATCTCGTCCCAACCCCAGCACAACCGTGGCTGTCCCCGCCCCTGAAGGCCCCGTTACGAGCCCTTTGGAGGTGCGACCCTGAAAACCTGGCCCAGCAAGAGACCCGGGTTCGAACTCCACTCAGTTCAACCAGCTGGGCCAGGCCTACCACCCCGCTGCCATAGACAGCCCCTGCTTCAGGGTCGCCGTCTTCCAGCGAAGGCAGCATGAGGCATTCTGGGAATTTTAGTCCGAGATCCGCTCGCTTGCGGGCCGAACCACAGGAGGTGTTCGGGGAGAACTACATTTCCCAGCGTGCTCCGCGGCGGACCGCTCTTCCGGGCCTGGCGTCGGTAGGGCTGCTCCGCGAGTTGCTAGGAGCTGTGTGTCAACGCTGCTCCCATGAGGCACCTGGAGAGCTTTGGCGGACTTAGTCGCGATCCACGTCGAAGTCCCTCACGTTCTGAGGACTGTTTGGTGACTGTGACCTTCTTGGTCAGTTATCAGATTAAAGCTGCGCTGCCAGAAAAACCCAACATCATCAACCAAGGAAGACACCGAGTTCGGGCGTGCGACGCCTTCAGTCCCAGCACTAGGAAAGCTGAGGCTGGAAGACCTAATTTCTAGGCCAACTTGGGCTGCGTCACAAATTTGAGGCTAGACTGTGCTACACAGTACTTTCTCAGAAACAAAACAACGTGTAACACATATTCTTGGGTTTAAGATTTTCATTTATTTGAGTTTTTATTGGAGTGTTGACAGCAGTGTGGACAACACTGATCATCAGTGTTCAATGGTAATTTGCAAGCTCTGGTCCTGTGCACCACCTTATATCAGTTTCTACAGGACAGTCAAGCAAGGCTGGGTATTAATGCATGCAAAATGCCTATTCAGAAACTAAGGGATACAAATCATTTAGATGAATCCGTAACAATTGAGAGTCAAATGACTATCAACCTGTGGTAAGCAGTCATTATTTTGAGGCAGGGTCTCCCTGTATCCACCACTGGCCTGAAACTTGTTCCGTAGACCAGGCTGGACTCGATCTCATAGAGATCGTCTGCCTCTGGCTCCAGAGTGATGAGATTAAAGGTATGTGCCACCATGCCCCACTTAGTCATAAGATTTTTTTTGGGGGGGGGGTCTTTTTGAGACAGGATCTCCCTGTAGCCCCAGCTGTCCTGGAACTCACTATGTAGACCAGGTTGGCCTTGAACTCACAGAGATCCACCTGCCTCTGCCTCCCGAGTGCTGGGATTAAAGGCATGTGCCACCACACCCAGCATAAAAAGATTTTTAGAATTATATAGATGTGTATGTGGGTTTGTGCACATGATTACAATACCCAAGGAGGCCAAAACAGGGTATTGTGTTCGCTGGAGCTGGAGTTGCAGTCAGTTGTGAGCTGGCTGCTTGAAGTGAGAGCTAAGAAACAAACCCGGGTCCTCTACAGGAGCAGCAAGTGCTCTTAGCCAGTGCGCCATCTCTCCAGCCCATAAGTAGAAACTATTATGTGGAAGATAATGTGTGCTTTTAGAAATTTATGAAAGTCAACAGTACTACAGCAAAATAGGTTCAGAATTTGGAATTACTCTCAATTCTATTTCCAAGACTCACTTGTTTAACCCAAATTAATTTTTTTCTTAAATTGCTGAGAATTTCATACATGCATGTTTTGACAAAATCCACCCCCAACTCCCTGCCGTCCAACTCCTCCCACATCCTTGCCATCACTTTTCCTTCCTTTAAATATTTTATTTGGGCCGGGCGTGGTGGCACATGCCTGTGGTCCCAGCACTCCGGAGGCAGAGGCAGGCGATCTCTGTGAGTTCAAGGCCAGCCTGGTCTACATAGTGAGTTCCAGGACAGCTGGGGCTACAGGGAGACCCTGTCTCAAAAAGCCACAAAGAAAAAAAATCTTATTGGGGGGGCAGGGAAGATTTTTTTTTTTTTTTTGAGACAGGAGATCCCTGTAGCCCCAGCTGGCCTGGAACTCACTGTGTGGACCAGGCTGGCCTCAATCTCACAGAGATCCACCTGCCTCTGCCTCCCAAGTGCTGGGATTAAAGGTATGGGCTGCCAAGCCTGGCTTCCAATTTTTTAAAACCCACCCAGTTCCCTTCACTTTGCCAGTATGTGCATGAGTGCTCACCCATCCACTGGAGCATAGGCAGTGTATGAGGGGTGGCACTTCTTGAGGAAACTGACACCTGTCGGTTGCCAGTAGCTCCTCGGCTAGGGCTCAGACATAGTGAGCCCCTCTCCCATCCATGCTGGAATTTTATCTGGCTTGCTCTTGTACCAGTCTTGTGCAGGCAGTCCTAGTGCTGTGAGTCCAACAGCCCTGTCACTTCTGGGAAACGCTGCTTTGCAGCATCCCTCCACTGCCTGTCTCTTACACTCTGCTTCCTCTTCCACAGTGAAATCTGAGCCTCGAGGGCCGGGGCTGTGATACTGCGGTCCATTTAGGGCTGAGGACACCGCAGTCTCTTAATGTTGATCGGCTGGGAGTTCTCTGTGTTATTTTCCATCCACTGCAAAACGAAGCTTCTCTGATGAGGTTAACCCAAACATAAATGGTTTAAAGCAAACAAACCACCCTAGAATCTAGAAATTTGCAACCACTAAAAGATTGTTTATAACTAAAAAAAATTATTTATATGTTTACCATCATGGGCCACAGAAATTTGTGTTGAAAAATTCAGTAGGTGTGGACAGCTAAAAGCAAAACTCCACCAAATCCTTAAACATTTTTTACGTGTGTGTGCATGTGTGTGTGTGCGTGTGTGCATGTGCTCCTGCTTCAAGCTTCCTGTCATGCTGCTGTGATGGACTGCACCTTGAACTGTGGGTCAAAATAAACCCTTTCTCCCTTCAATTGCTTTTGTCAGGATATTTTATCATAGCAACAGAAACAGAAACTAATGACAGCCTGCCTTTTGCCAAGAGGGTAAGAAAGTCAAGACAGGCACCACAGGCTTTTTAGGGACCAACTGCTCTGGGGTCACCAATGTCCAATCATTGAGGTACACTTTGGTATATAACTAGTAGAGTCCTGAACACCTAAGACTCCACCTTCATAAAGAGCCCACACATCTTTTTCAACCATAACTTTACAGTGTTGCATATCATAGAATACTGCATGGAAAAGGCTAAATGTGGCTGGAGGACACCACTCAGGTACAGCACCTGCCTCGCATGCAAGGGACCAAATCCCTAATAGGCAGAGTCCCTGAGGAGTAGTAAGAATGACATGCTTCCTTCTTCTTCTTGGTCTGAAACAAAGGCCTGGTTGCTCATCTTCTAGACAGCAGGGTTCCCTTTCCAGGGACTAGCTCAAACTAGGTCAGTGAAGGCTGAGACCTGACCTGGACACACCATCTGAAGCCATAACCCTATCAGCCTTCTCTTCTTTTTTTAAAATTTTTGTGTACGCGTGCATTGCCTGTATGTAGGTAAGTGCGCACGTGTCGTGCAATGCCCTTGGAGGTCAGAAGAGTCTGTCGGATCCCCTTGGATCCCCTTGGACTGGAGTTATGGACAGTTGTTAGCTGCCATGTGGGTGCTGGGATTTGAACCCTGGTCTTCTGCAAGAACAACCAGTGTTCTTAACCGCTGAGCCATCTCTCCAGCCCCCAGCCTTCTCTTCTTTAAGCTGACCAGTCCGAAAACACTAAAAACAAGGGGACCTTTGGATCTTGGTTTCTGAATTCCCCCTCCACTTTCTGTGTATGGATGTGTGATTCTTTATCTTTCAATAAAAGTTTGCCATGTACTCTCTGCTGCTGTTTCTCTTGCCTTTTAATTCTTTAATTGGCTGAGAAAACAATCCCAATAGATGGTGACCAGCGAAGACCTGTAGACTGATAATGTAACTGCAGTTTGCACAAGGCTCCAAGCTCCCCCAGCACTGGGTGGCACATAGCCTTGATAATCATCTAACAGAAAAACCTCATTAATTCACTTACAACTGCTGTTTGCTCAGGAAGTTTCTTTCCTTTTTAGTTCTTAGTGTTACCCAAACCTGACACACCAACATTTTATTATTTTTTTAAATTATTTTTATTTTTTATGTGTGAGTGTATTGCCTGCCTGTGTTTAAGTGTACCCGTGTCATGCAATGCCCGCAGAGGCCAGAAGAGGGCATCTGATCCCCTGGAACTGGAGTTACAGACTATTATCTGCCATGTGGGTGCTGGCAATCAAACTCAGGTCCTCTGGAAGAAGAGCAAGTGCCCTTAACTGCTGAGTCATCTATCCAGCCCTGACACACTAACATTTCAAAACTTCATAAATAAACTTATGGATATTCCGTCTCACACATGTAATTTCAGCACTTGGGAGTCTGAGGCAGAAGGATCACCCACAAGTCTGAAAACAGTTGGGTTACACAGTGAGTGCCATGGCTAGCCTGAACTCAGTAGACGCTGTCTCAGCCCCTGCTCCCAAATTAAATGAATGTGGTTTGTTAGTCGTTTGGGTTTATTTTTAGAGACAGAATTTCAATATGCAGCTCTAATCTGGTCCAGAACTCACTATGTAGACTAAGATGACTTCAAACTCACAGAGATGGGCTTGCCTCTGCCTCCTGAGTACTGGGATAAAAGGTGTGCACTACTATGCCTGGCTGGCTTTGTCTTTTAAGTAAATGAGGTGCTGGGCTGGAGGTGGCTCTGTAGTATCTACAACTTCAACACTGCTTAGATCCCAGATCTGCACAACTGGATGAGGTGGGTTAGTTCAAACACCATTAGATGCTGCCCACAAGTATTTATCTATGAATACACTATTGAGGCACAGATTCCGAAATGATTCCACATTTGACAGGTCAATTATTAAGTCATTTATTTTCCAGAATATGAACTATCATAAACAGAAACCCAATATACAGTATTTATGTTTCTGTTCTAATCAAAGTCTAATGTTAACCTCCCTAGGGTAGATTTTATGTCAAGTGTCAAGAGAGAAATTATTTCCACTATGTTCTCAGAACTGATTCTAAAAAATTGGTTTCATGAGGCAGATGTCAGAGATACAAAGAGTTAACAGGTTAAAATTAAGTGATATGTCTTCTTTATAGTGATTTTTAAGAACAAGTAATTCATTAAGAGTACTGATTAAACTGAGCATGGTGGCGCATGCTTTTAATCCCAACACTCAGGAGGCAGAGGAAGGCAGATTTCTGTGAAGACAGCCTGGCCTACATAGGGAGTATCAGGCCAGCTGGGGCTACAAGAAGGGGGGCAGGGAGAGAGAGACAGAGACAGAGAGAGACAGAGGACCGATTAGCCAGGTATGATAACATGCACCTGTAATCCTAGTACTTGGGAGGCTGAGAAGCAAGTCAAGGCCACATGAGACCCTGTCTCAAACTGATCCCCCCAAAAAACCCAACCAACCAACCAACCGAACAAAACCGCAACACACAAAAAAATATGCAGACACCAGAAAAGGGCACATATTTAAACTATAAACATAGAACGATTGTACAAATTAGATTCCAACAGATGAAAGGGCAATTTAACAACTCAGGTAAAGCTCCTAACCCATACCACAAGGCCAGACACTCATTAAGAAACAAAATCTATGCAACTTCCACTTAGCCTTTGGTCAGTTTCAATTACATTTTTGGAACCAAAAATCAAAACACATGGTTGTACCAAAGGATTTTGTTGTTGTTGTTGTTGTTATTTCTAGATATAAGAGGTGAACTGAGTAAGTTTTTTTTTTTTTTTTTTTTTTTTTGTCTTTTTGAGACAGGGTCTACTTGTAGCCCCAGCTGTCCTGGAACTCACTAGATATACCAGGCTGTCCTTGAACTCACAGAGATCTGCCTGCCTCTGCCTCCCAAGTGCTGGGAGTATAGGCGTGTGCCACCACACCCAGCTGTAGCTCTCTTTTATTTAAAGCCAAATATTTTGGCATTGGTGCCCACTAAGCATTTTATAGCTTATGCCAAGATGACAGAATATTTCAATTCTGGATTGTCCCAGGAAATGTACTTCAAACACCATGATTCAGACCCAGGCAATGCCCAAAAGCTGTATGTAGAGATAAGTATGTTTAACTATGTCAGAAAATGAGTGGAGGAGCCACGGTGCTACTATGGCGACAAATTAAGAGTACACAAATGGATGACTAACTAACATGAGGCCATGGTTCCGCAGTGGGTACGTGCTGAAGGAGTCCTCTTGTGGAAGATGCTCCTGTGGAAGTTGACAGGAGCAGCAGCATGCCCAGGAAAGCACGTGAGGTGCTGTGCACAGGTTTCTGCCTCAGCCCCTCCTCCTTAGTCCCACTTTATAGCCAAGTCCTGCAGTTCAGCAGATAGGTAGTGGTAGGTAGGCAGCAGCAAGCCTGGAAAGTTCTACCCAGTAAAATACCTTTGTTTAAAAACACGGTGATTAGCAGTTAAAAATGCGAAAATAAGTATTTAGTAATTAAACTGTTAATTATCAGAAGTCAAGGCCTACTGGGGTCAGCAGCATTACAAATGACATCAGACTGCAGTTCTTAAGCTTGTGAGTGCTTAACAGTCTCTTTCAGTGTTAATTGCACTTAAAACACATTGATTTTTTTCATTTAATCTCTAAAATCTGTTCATTTCCTCCTCGTTTATAAAGAGAACAGGGGTCAACCCATCATCTGTTCTATAGCTACATGAATTTCATAATAAAGATCCATGCAGATTTGTGCATCAGGCAGGAGAGAATTTCTGCTGCTTCCTGGAGCAAATTAAACTTGTCCTTGGGACACCTCAAAGCTTGGATTGCAAAGGCTTCAAGTGCTTGTAGTAAGATTCGTGGACCTGCAGGAGAGAGAACACTAATCAAGAACCTCCATGTGAAACAGCAGTTCTTCTTTTCTTTAAAAAAACTGCCAGGCATGGTGGTGCACGCCTTTAGTCCCAGCACTTGGGAAGCAGAGGCAGGCGGATCTCTGTGAGTTCAAGGCCAGCCTGGTCTACATAGTGAGTTCCAGGACAGCTGGGGCTACAGGGAGACCCTGCCTCAAAAAGACCAAAAAAAAAAACAACAACAAAAAACCCGCATACTTCTGCCACACCTGGTGGCACACACCTTTACTCATGGCACTCAGGAGGCAGAGGCAGGCTGATCTCTCTAAGTTTGAGGCTAGCCTGGGTCTACACAGTCAGTTCCAGGCCATCTAGGGATACAGAGACATTGTTTAGTTTGAGACCCTGTCTCAAAAAAGAAAAACCAAACCAATCAAAATGATAAAACCCTGTTGACCTACAGGAGGAACATAGCTCCTTTCTGACATTAGTGTGCAAATAAAGCAATTGTGGGAAGCTGTGCAGCTCCCAGGGCTCTCAGAAAAGAACGCAGAAGCCTGTCCTGCCTCACGCTAATTAATTAAGTTTATTTATTTCTTTTTTATGTGTATGAGTGTATTGCCTGGTGTATGTGAGTGCACCCGTGTCATGAAATGCCGCGGAGGTCTGAAGAGGTTGTCAGATCCCGTGGAACTGGAGTTAAGGACGGTTTGTAGCTGCCATGTGAGTTCTGGGAATTGAACCCAGGTCCTCTGCAAGAGCAAGCAGTGCTCTTAACCACTGAGCCGTCTCTCCAGCCCCTAATTAAGTTTATTTTAAGACAAGGTCTCGCAATACAGACCAGGCTGGCCTTGAACTCAAAGAAACCTACCTGCCTTGGCCTACTGAGTGCTGGGATTAAGGGTCTGCACCACCATGTCCAGTTTTTTTTTCTTAAGATTTTATTTATTTGTTTATTTGTGTGTGTGCCTATATGTTAGCATGTGCAGGTGCATGCAGGTATCCATGGAGGTCACAAAAGGATGCTGGCTCCCTAGAAGCTGGAGTTTCAGGCAGCTACATGCTACCAGAAGTGAGAGCTGGGAACTGAACCCGGGTCCTCTGGAAGAGCAGCCAGTGCTCTTTGACGCTGAGCCAGCTCTCCAGCCCTCCTGCCTCATATTTAAATGACAAACTCCAGTAGACTGTAGGTATGATTCAGTGGTGGAGTCACTGAATGGCCCAGCATGTGCTAGGGCATACCTGGGTTCCATCCCCAGCACTGCAAAAAATTAAAACTTCAGAAGGTGGAAAGACATGTTTTTGTCTGTTTGTGTTTTTTACCTCTGTTTTGTTCAGTGGGGATTTCTTGGCCCACTCAAACAGGTTTTCATACACATTCCCATCATAGCGGCCAAGAACAGAGCCAAGTGCCATATCCTTAAAGTCAAAGGCATCAACCAAAGCAACAGCATTAGGGCGGATTACAGTGAGCAACTCCAGTATACGATGGTTTACTTGTGTCATCTGAGCTCCTGTCATGATGTTCCCCTAAGAGAAACCAAAATAAATAAAAATGAATAAAAATACATATAGAGCCGGGCATAACGGCACATGCCTTTAATCCCAGCACTTGGAAGGCAGAGGCAGACAGATCCCTGTGAGTTCAAGGCCAGCCTGGTTACATAGCGAGTTCTAGGTCAGCTGGGGCTCCAGAGAGATCCTGTCTCAAAAAGACCAAAATTTTTTTAACAAACACAAAAACAAAATAAAGTGGACAGCTCCTCAAGAATAATTATATATATATATATACACATACATACATACACACACACACACAGACATTTATACATACGAAACTGGACAATTTTTTGAACAAAACAAAAAACAAGCAAACAAAAACAACAGACAACACTCCTGCTTAGAAAATACTGACCTCAAGAAAATCTCCTGCTTTCTGGCTGATTCCATACAGACAATATAAGAAACACAAGTTCCTTAAGACAGCTTGAACAGCTTTATCTTGAATTTTGGGGAGTGTTTCAGTGAAGAGCTTAACTACCACGTAGTGGCAATGTGCCTAGGAAAAGAGAAGACAGAGGAGTGTGGGCACCTGAGATGGCTGTGGTGGCTCAGGCCTGTAAGTCCATTTGGAGGCTGAAGCAGGAGGACTGCTCTGACTTTGAGGCCAGCTACTGCTACATGGTAAGCTCCAGACCAGCCTGGGTTAGTGAGATCTTGTCTCAAAAATACAAAACAAAATGAAACGAAAAAAACAAAATAACACCCCCACCCCCCAAAAAGTCAACTGAACAACCAAAGAAAGCCCATGACAGTGAGCAGGGCACTAAGGAAAGGGGCAGGAGGCAGGAGAGGAAAGAACTACCACTGTCGGGCATGGTGGCACACGCCTTTAGTCCCAACACACAGGAGGCAGAGGCAGGCAGATCTCTGTGAGTTCCAGGCTAGCTTGGTCTACACAGTGAGTTTCAGGCCAGGCTGGCGTATAGGGAGACCCTGCCTCAAAAAGACAAAAAAAAAAACCCAAAAAACCCCCAAAGAACTACCACTGACCTCACTTGCTCGAACGAGGTCAACAGAAGTTAGGTTCCACGCTACTTCCTTGCTTTTCCTGTGACTCATCTGAGTCTGAAGGCTTTTTGCAGCAATTTCTACTAATCTGTTAAACAAAGAAAGAAAAATGGAGATCTGAGGAAACAATCCACGGTTTGGTTCTCCTGCTTTCTTGTGTTTACCAGCAAGCCCACAAACAGCCCACAGCTGGGCCTTCTGCCCTTGAGAGCGCTCACCTGGCTGCACGAAGCTTGTAGGCTTCAGTCAGACTGTCAAGGCTATTGATGTCCACCACTGCTGGCCAGACTGCCACCTGCTGTGGCTGGATGCGCTGACTGGGCAAGTCGTTCAAGTAGGACACTGTGCCACACACCAACTTCCCTGAGTGTACCTGTTCATAGCTTTTAATCAAAAACCTAAAAATAACCAGTACATATGCTTTTAGTAACTCTACTCCTGAAATGACCCTATGCCATGTAACAGGCATTCAGTACTTGCTGGTCTGACCATGAGATAAGAAGTCAGGAAGGAAATAAAACTGCCTTTCAGGAACAAATATTTGTGGTATACACATGGTAAAGAGAAACCAGGGCAACTGGATCCTGGGAAAGACTCCAAACGGGAGGAGAAATCGGGAATGATTCTCACCTGGCCGTTTGCAGCATCATGACAGTGTTTTCTCCCTCGAAAGTGCAGGCTGGGGTAAAAGTGACATAAATATTTGGAATGCCACTGCTGTGAGAGTAGCCGTGCCCACCACAAGCCATCCGACATTCTTCAATACCAGCGTTTGCCGTCCAGGTGGTAAAAGCCTTCAGCCCAGCAGTGAGGGCATGAAGCTGGAGGTAAGCACAGGCCGTGAGAACATCAGCTCAGAACCCACCTTCCAGCAAGAAAACACATAGCCTCCTCTAACTGCACTGGTCACTGTCAAAACCAGCTGTGCGCATGTCAACTCAAAGAGGCAGTCACCTGACTGGTCTTAATTAGTGATACTCCCTCACCTTCTATTGGCAAAACATAGTCCTTGGGTTGACAAATGATAACATGGTGACTGCTTAAGATACCATAAATCTACATAATTCTAAGTCCTATCTCCATAGCTCTAAGATTATGTAATTCTTTCCAGGAAATCTCAGTACGTACTTTCTTCTGGATATTTCCCAGCAGGCAAATGTGAAACATGAGGGTGCCCACGACTGGATGAGAAAAGCATGTACCTCAGGCAGCTCACTCAGGTCCCCTTGGCCAATGCTCTCATTAACCCGATGATAGGTCTCCTTCATGTATCTTCCTACAAACTGGAAGGCGTAGGCAGTGGCCAGGAGTGGGAAGAGTTTATACTGTTGGGTCTGAAAATCCAAAATCTGTGGTTCTGGTTCACTAAATTACATAGAAGAAACAAAAAAAAAAGTAAATGTCTATATAGAACTTTCTATATTCCAGGTTCTAGTCTAAGCACTTTGTAATAGTAACTTATTTAACCCCTTAAGGACCAAGTAAGAGAACTGCTATGTTACCCTCACTTTACAAAAGGGGAACAGGTTAAGAACCTGGCTAAGGGCACACAGCTCAAAGTCGCAGTTCTTTGGCTCCATAAGGCCATGTTCTTTTTTGGTTTATTTTTATTCTATGTGCATGAGGTATTTTGTCTGCATGTTAAATGCACCTGTGTTGTACAATGCCCGCAGAGGCCAGAAGAGGGCATTGGATCCCCTGGAACTGGAGTTATGGACGGTTGTTGGCCTCCATGTGGGTGCTAGAAGCAAACCAAGGACCTTTGCAAGAGCAGCTGGTGCTCTTCACTGCTGAGCTGTCTTTCCAGCCCCCATAAGACCATATCCTTAGCTACTTTACTGTACTTCCTTGAGTGGACAGAATTATCTAGCTGTAGGAGAAGGTATGTCTTTCCACTATGGCTAAAGCAACTATAACTTAGAGCAACAGAGAAAAACAAAGCTAGTTCACTCACAAGAGGAAAAGGATGCTATAAAAATGTATAGCCAACCACAGCTCATAAACTGTATTTTGTTGACCACAATCTTAGAAATGACCCAATCCATAAAGTAAATATTTTAGTGTTAAAAATTAACAAAAGTCCAGGGAATTTGGAGAGTTGGGGGCAGATATAATCAAGATATAACACTGTATGTATATATGAAATTGTCAAAGAATAAACAAAAAAATATTTATTAACAAGCTTTTTTTCTTTGAGACAGAGCCAGCCCGCCCTGCCCTCCTCCTTCCTTCCTTACCTTGTGTGTGTGTGTGTGTGTGTGTGTTCCCGTGCATGCTAGGCAGGTTCTATAGTTATACCCTTGGGAGGCCTAGAGTGTCTGAGGCCTTTGGTTAAACACCTGGTACTGTGGGGCTGGTGCCAGGTGCGCTCTCTCTCGTTCTCTCTCTCTCTCTCTGCGTATATTGATTATTGTCACCTTTCCTCTTAAGGAAATGAATACACTAAGTGCAGGCCCAATCTATTGCCGCCCTAAGTCGTTTTGCACAGTCAGTATATCTTTTCTATTCACTTTTGGGAATTCTGATATTGAAAAGGGTCAAAGTAGGCCTCCAGCATGAGCCCATGTCTGACCCCACCCTCACCCTGGCTTGATTTCAGACTGGCGCCTCACGGTGCTGTATCGGATGGCAATGGTGCATGCTTTGGACAGAGACCGAGCTGCTTCTCCCACAAGGAAGGACCGGACGAACACCATGGTCCCATAAGTCAGCTTGTTACTCAAGGGTTTCACATACGTGCCATCAGGCTTCACCTGCGAGAACAAAATGGGACCAATGCTTCTTTCTGTGAGCCCAAGAGACAGCTTACTGATTCTCCAAGTGTGCTCCCTGGAACGGCAATAAACCTGACATCGCCAGGACTTGGCAACTTGTCTGAAATACTAAATTCTACTCCCTACAATGAAGTAGAATTTCCTACCAGTGAAACCAGAAATTTGGAGCCAACGACTTGATTTTAGGACAAGGCCATACTAAGACAGTAGTTCAGGTTGACCTTGAGCTCACAATGCCTCTCAAGTACACACCACACTTGGCCCACAATCTGGGTTTTAACTGGCCCTCAGGGTGAGTCTATTTAAGAGCATGAGAACCACAGGTTTACCAAGAAGGTTTTTTTTTTGGTCTTTTTGAGACAAGAGTCTCCCTGTAGCCCCAGCTGTCCTGGAACTCACTATGTAGACCAGGCTGGCCTTGAACTCAGAGGTCCGCTTGCCTGCCTCCCAAGTGCTCAGATTAAAGGTGTGCACCACCACACCCAGCAGGTTATATTTTTTATTCTTCAACTGCTTCTAAATTCCACTGTCAGAATAAAATAAGTCCAGAAGTAAAACCATGTCACCTGCTATAAGCACACACACGTCTAGCTATTAACCCACAACCCTCTCACTGAGCACCCTTGCTCCTGTTTTCAATTTACATAGAGCCAGAAGCTATGCATGGTGATACATATTTATAACCCCAACACTGAGAGGCTGGGGCAAGAGGAACTGCTTTGAACCTTGGCTACATGTAAGTTCAAGGCTAGCATGGAATACATAGTGAAATCCTGCTTCAAAAAAAAAAGTACAGGGTGAGGCATGATGGTCCATGCTTTAATCCCAGCACTCAGAAGGCAGGGGCAGGTGGATCTTTGTAAGTTTGAGGTCAGCATGGTGAGCCAGGGCTATATAATGAGACCCTCTCTCAAAATAAACAAACAAACCTGGGCATATTTCATCAGCATGTTTTCTCTAGGAATACGATAATTGTCCATCTTCAGGAAGCCATTATCCATCTCTTCATAACCAAATTTGGGGCCAATATCCCCAACAGTAATACCTACAATAGATAACAGGAAAGACATATAAGCTATATATGCTCTGGAATTTTGCTTTCTTTCCTTCTGTTAAACTGTGCCTTATACTTTTTGCAGTTTAATTTTGAACTTGACATCAGGTAAACAATCCTCACCTGGCAAGGGCTTGTGGGTCCCGATTTCACGAATAGGTACAATGAAGGCATGTAACCCATAGCACTCCCCCTTTGTGATAAGCTGGGCCAGAACTACTGCATGGTTGGAAGTCTTCCCGACTGCAGCATCAAAGAGAACAGGAAAGAAATGAGCAGACACATATGCTTTTTTTTTAAATTAAAAAATTGTGTAAGGATTTATTTTTATTTTATATATATGAGTATTTTGCCTGCAGGTGTGTAATTGCATCTGTGTCATGCGCCTCTGGAGGCCAGAAGAGGACGTCAGATGCCCTGGAACTGGAGTTATGGTTGGTTGTTAGCTGCTATGTGAGTACTGGAAATTGAACCTGGGTCCTCTGCAAGAACAGCCAGTGCTCTTGTAACCACTGAGCCATCTCTCTAGCTACCCCCTCTTTTTAAATTTTTATTTTATGTGTATCTGTATGCATGTGATCACACTTATGTTGTGCAATGCCCAGGGAGGCCAGAAGAGGGCAGGCCTCAAATCTTCTGGAACTGGAATTAAGGACAGTTAGCTGCCATATAGGTACAGCCAGTGCTCTTAACCAATGAGCCATCTCTTCAGTTCTACATGCTTTTAAAAAACTTTAAAAAGTTTTGAAGCTGAGCATGGTGATGCACACCTTTAATCCCAGCACTCCGGAGGCAGAGGCAGGTGGATCTCTGTGAGTTCAAGGCCAGCATGGTCTACATAGCAAGTTCCAGGACAGCTGGGGCTATAGGGAGACCCTGTCTCAAATAAAAGAAAAGAACTTACTCCTGATCTGCCTACTTCTACTTCCTGGGTGATGGGATTACAGGTGTGCACCACCATTATTTAAATTTTATTACATCTATGGGGGGCATGTGCACACGCTTCATCACAGGTGTGGAAGTCAGAGGACAGTTTGCAGGCATTGGTTCTCTCCTACCATGTGGATCTTAAGGAATCAAACTCAGTCACCAGGCTTGATGGCAAGTGCCTTTACCCACAGAACCATCTAGTAGGTCTTGCGCTTGCTTTTTATTTATTTATTTATTTATTTATTTATTTATTTTTGTCTTTTTGAGACAGGGTCTCCCTGTAGCCCCAGCTGACCTGGAACTCGCTATGTAGACCAGGCTGGCCTTGAACTCACAGAGATCCACCTGCCTCTGCCTCCCAAGTGCTAGGATTAAAGGTGCATGCCACCATGCCTGGCTACTCCTCTTGCATTTTTAAACAGTGGAAACAAAAGCATATACAAAAGTGTGTCCAATACATTGTGAGTTAGAATGATAAAGCACATCCAGAAAGCCTTTCCTTTGAGTCTTTTTTAAAAATTTAATTATTTTTATTATTATTTTTTGGTCTTTTTGAGACAGGGTCTCCCTATAGCCCCAGCTGTCCTAGAACTCACTATGTAGACCAGGCTGGCCTTGAACTCACAGAGATCGACCTGCCTCTGCCTCCCGAGTGCTGAGATTAAAGGCATGCACCACCACACCCAGCTTCCTTTGAGTCTTACACCAAGCTTCTACAAAAAAGTCACTTAAGGGGCTGGAGAGATGGCTCGGAGGCTAAGAACACTGGTTGTTCTCGCAGAAGACCCAGGTTTGAATCCCAGCACCCACATGACAGCTAACAACTGTCCGTAACTCCAGTTCCAGGGGATCTGACAGCCTCTTCTGTCCTTCACAGGTATTGCACAACACGAGTGTATTTACCTACATGCTGGCAATACATGCAGACACATAAAATAAAAATAATAAATAAAATATTTTAAAAAAATCATTTAAGCCCATAGTTTATTTTGGCAGAGCAATTCTGCATTTAAAAAAAGACAGGTTTTTCAGGCTGGGAGTGGTACAGACCTTTGATCCCAGCACTTGGGAGGCAGAGGCAGGCAGATCTCTGTGATTTCAAGGCCAGCCTGGTCTACATAGTGAGTTCCAGGCCAACTGGGGCTACAGGGAGACCCTGCCTCAAAAAGACCAAAAGCAAAACAAAAAAAATAAAAACAGGCTTTCAAAAAATTTATCTTAGTTAATACATAGGAATGTTTTGATAAAAAATTAAGCAAAGTACTCAGGAGATAGAGGCAAGCGGATCTCTATAAGTTTGAGGATATCCTGGTCTACATGAGTTATAGGCCAGCTGGGACTACAGGGAGACCCTATCTCAAAAAATATATATATATATATAAGACAGCCATTATTTTTGTGATTTTATGACTTATGAATATATATATAACGTGTACCATAAGAGAATGTGAAATATCTTAGATTGATAGTTTAGGATTTTTTTTTCTATATTTCAAAGTTATATTTTAAGGTCTAAATACAAACTCATAATAAATCTTCAAAATGTTTAACAGCAACAAAATGAAAATATTCAAGAAATGTAGAAGAATTGACTTACGCCCACCAGGCCACCACTTAATGGAGGACACGGTGGGACTGTTGAGGATGAACTCCTGGGTGCTGGGGTCATATGTGGCAGTGGTTTCCAAGCCTCGAAGATGAGTTCCTAAGGAAAGAAATTACATTCACGTCAGATAAAATAGGGGGGCAAAAAAGGCACACATGGAGTCAAATTTCCTGCGAAGTTCTAGTACCTTAGAGAAAACCCACACCTGACCCCTTCACATGACCTATAGATGGCTGATGAGCTATAGATGCCTGGCAACCATAGAACTCAGCTTCCTGTTCTACTAGTTTCCCACCAGGCTAAAAACCTAAGCATCATGGGTATTTACTTCTAAATGTGACTCAGTAGGTTTGTAGTATTTATTTAAAGCATTTTTTTAAATATTTTATCTATTGTTTTTATTTTATGTGTATGCATGTATTGCCTGCATGTAGGTAAGTGCACCCATGCTGTGCAATGCCCACGGAAGTCAGAAGAGGCTGTCGGAGCCCCTGGGACTGGAGTTACAGACAGTTGTTAGCTGCCATGTGGGTGCTGGGATTCGAACCCGGGTCTTCTGCAAGAACAACCAGTGTTCTCAACCGCTGAGCCATCTCTCCAGCCCTGTAGTATTTATTTAAATTAACGAAAAGATAATGTAAAGGCAGCTTGGAATTGTTTTCTTCTAAGATCTAAATCCTATAAAACAGAGAGAAGTATACTGTTCTTTTAAACTCATCTTTCTCTTGCCACACGTGCACATGGTATGTGCATATGTGCCATGGTGTGCATGTGGAAATCAGAGGACAAGCTGTGTGAGTTGGTTTTCTCCTCCTACTATGTGGGTCCTGGGGACTGAACTCAGGTCATCAGGTTTGGCGACAAGCACCTTTATGTGCTTAGTCATCTCAATGGTCCCCCATCTCTACATTTCATGTGTCAATTCCAACTCCAGTATACTGTGCTTTCCAGAGCTAGGAGTTCTGTACTACTGAGAGTAAAGTAACTACTCAGCTAGTCCTTCTGTAAATTCAGAGTTTATTTCAGAATGATTGCTAAAATGGAAAATAAGAACTCGAAACTTTTGTTATGAAAAAAAGTGACTTCTTATAATTCTTCTAAAGATCCAAATGATTGAGTTCACCCTATGTATCTCTAATGACAGGCTTTAACTTAGCTGGCTCATTATGAAGAATTATTCCCAGTTTCATGCGTTTACTAGAGATGAACAGACATGTCTGCTTTAAATCCTAGTATAAACACTCGAAAATTCTTTGAAAAGAGTTACAGAAAAATGTGCGTGGCATTCTAATAGTCCTATAGTGAAGCAAATGCTGAGGACCATTTTACCAATTACTCTGAGAACATCAGGCCTCACTGAGCACTTTCAAACATTTAGAAATTTCCCAAGTTGAGTAACAGAAATGGGCAGTTGATGTGTGAATAAGTCTTTCACAGTGGAGTCAAAGAAGCCTTTACAGGAGAGGGGAAAGCACACTGAATAGGACAGGTGAAGGCAAAGTGTTTTCGAATACACAGTTGAACTGAAGAGTATTCCACTTTTGCATCTTGTGAAAAGCCTATCAACTACTCAGGATCAAAAAGCAGCAGCCGTACAGAACTAAGGCCCGAGCAGCACAGAAACATACACTACTTTTTCCAAATCCCCAGAACAAAGTGGGAAAAAGCAGGGAGAAGCAAACCAATGGCAGAGACTCCAGTTCAGAAGCAGTGACACGAGACGAGCAGCCCTGCCCACACCCAGGAGGGCAGGTGAGGGGACAAGAAGTGTCACTACAGAGTGTCATGGCTACTGCCTGCAAGTCCCACATATTAAATTTTTCTAATCTCTGGTTAAACTACTTCAAAACTCTTCTGAATTTAAGTGCATCAAGGTACAAGTAACTTCAAGGTATAAAATAGTGCACTTTCTGATTATAAGCCACAAATTTACCTCATGTGAGTCAAAAGCATCCATACCATTAACATGTACTTCTTCTGAGACAGGTAACGAGACAGTAATAAACAAGATGAGTTCCTAGAGACTGACTGAAGGTGATAAATTACTTGGTAGTACTGGTTATTTTTGATCTTCTGAAGGAGTATGCACAATCAGCAATCATTATGATAACATAAATTTTCATTTCCACTGACTATGTCTGAGGCTAACTCTGCAAAAGCTCACTTAAACAAATTGTTGTATCCTGATGTGCCCTTACTAGCACATGGGCACCTGCTCTATACCCATCCAGCTGGCAAGGGCCCACCCACCCAGAAGGTAGACTAAATACACTGTACCATGACCCATCTCTGTCTGGGCATAAGTGCCTGTGATTTCCAGATTCCAGGCTGGCATGAAGAAGCGCTCTTGCTGTTCTGCAGTGGCCTGGTGAAGCAAGGTGGGCAGGAACATGCCCAAGTGAAGATCCAAAGGCTCAGGTCGCCCTCGGTGCACAAAACTTCGAAGAAATACCAAGGATAGGCATGTGGGAGAAGCATCATCAGTGTATGAGGAATCAGCAATTTGAACAGATAGAGCAATGGAGGAAAAAAAAAAATTGTGAGCAACAATCAGTCAAGTGCACTTTATGATGGATGGGAGCACTGCCCTTTTCTGTATTATTTTATGAGTATAAACAATTTCCATCTTTTTTATATATATTTTTTAATTAAAAAAATTTTACATGTATGACCATTTTGACTGCATGTATGTAGGTGCACCACATGTATGTAGTGCCTGTGGAAGCCTGTGGATTCCCTGAAACTCGAGTTATGGAAGGTCATTAGCTGCCATGTGGGTGCTGGGTTCTCTGCCAGAGCAGTCAGTGTTCTTAACCACTGAACCATCATCTCTCCAGCCCCAATTTTCATCTTTCTTAAGTGGATAAAGTATATGGCAGGGACTGGCTACTATTCCCAAAACCCACAGAGCACAAAACAATGTGCACAAGGCAAGACTCCAGTCTAGCAATTAAACTGAAGGAACGAAAACCCTGAAAAGACTGCATGGACTGGAGACCTGAAAGGGAACAGGTTACTCGGATGGGGAAGAAACAGGAGAACACAGCAGTCCTCTCAGAGTGATAATATGAACTCTGGGTAAGTTTTTTCCTAGATGCAATTTTGGTGAAGCTTCTAGACTGGGATATTTTCTGTTTGCCCAGAAAACATCTAGCATAGATCCATATTCTTTACATAATTTATCATTTCATTCAAATTTATCATGTCAAATATTTAGTTAGGCTTCACAGATACAAACTAACACAAAAATTGACAGTGCTCTTCATCCCAAAATTCCAAAAATTAAAAAGACAATTTCAAGTGATGACCATAGCAATTACACATTATAGATTTGTGTGTCAAAGTTCTGTGTCACATTATTCATTATCCTGTTATGCACCTAAACCACTTTTTAGTTTTTCAACCTCTTGATTTGCTCCATCTAAGGTAAGGAGGAAAATGAGCAGGCAGTGTGGCGGCCCTAGCTCATTAGGAGCACGTGGGACTTTCAGCCAGTCAACCACAGGCAATGCAGTGATCCCTCACTTTATAGAGAGGACACGCAGACCAACATGGCTGATGAGCCACCTCATCTTGCCTCTATTTAGGGAGCTTAGTGCTCAATTGCAACATGGGCCAAGAACATGCCTAAAACCCAGAGTTATCCTTGGAAGCATTCAAAGTGGGAACGCACAAGAGCTTATCATTGGTATAAAGTGGATAAAAGTTTCACAGAGCCTCTTTGATACTACTCTTGCAACTTCCTATGAATTCCCAATCATTTTAAAATTAAAAAGAAAAAGACCAAGTGTAGTGGTGCATGCCTTTGATCCCAGCACTCAGGAGGCAGAGGCTGGCATATCTCTGTATCTCTGAGAGATTGAGTTCTGGGCCAGCAGGGTTACAGGGAGACCCTGTCTCAAAAAACAAAGTTTCAGTGCTGGGGTTGGTTGGAGGGTAGAGTTCACTGTTGCTTTGGGTCAGTTCTATTACAAACAAAAAACAAACTACTGTTAATCCTATACACTAAACCTTAGAACTTGTATACTAGGCCCTGGAGTTACTGGAAAATAAAACAAAACAAAAACATCAGACTCAGGGAGGCTTTGAATCTGTGTGCAGTGCTGTGGAGTAATGAGTATTACCATAAAATATACTCAACCAGAGACTGGACTGAAGAATATTTTGGGGAGAAGACTATCTCGTGTGGCTAAAATAAGTATTCAGAAGCAGATAAAAATTTAGGAATTTTTACAAAAGGAAAGTAAATTTTTTCCAAATTAATTTACTGTGAAAACGATTCATGATTATTATATTACTTTTAGATAATTTATTGTGAAATTATAAAGTACTAGCATTATATTTGGCCAAGTGCTAAGGTCAGTCCTTTCTAAACTATTATATGGAAAGGTCTCCCGAGTCTCTCCTTCAAGCTACAAAGCTGGAAAGGACAGCAACAACAGTGGGGAGAGAATGATCTCATGACGGCAATTTGGGGCTGGGGCAAGCAGCAGCTTGATCAGCAGAGTGGTTGCCTAGCGTGCATAAAGTCTCAAATTCCACCCAAATAAAACTAGGCCTGGTGGCGCCCACCTATAATCAATCCCAGCAGAGGCAGGAAGAGCCCCACAAATCTGAGGCCAGCATGGTCAGCACAGTGAATTCCTTGGGACACTACTACAGAGTGAGATCCTTGTCTCCCACAAACAACCCCATCCGCACCAAGAAGACATGACAAGGGGAAAGACTTGTGGCTAAGAGACTAAATGAAGGGGTGCTTCCCAAGAAAACAAAAGGCTCTGCTCTGACACCAATACAAACTTCCTGCAGTGTTTTGGGGAGCTTGAAAATCTGAGATGAGAATTCATCTAAAGAGTGGCGGTTTGTGGTGGCACACACAGGTAGGCAAATGCTGAAGGGGGCACACGCAGGTAGGCAAATGCTGAAGGGGGCACACGCAGGTAGGCAAATGCTGAAGGGGGCACACGCAGGTAGGCAAATGCTAAAGAACCACAAGTCTGAGGCAGTTCAGGCTACCGGTTTGCTGAGCATAGTAGGACATGCCTATTATCCCAGCATTTCAAAGGCAGGGGCAGGAGGACTGAGAACATTCCAGGCCAGCCCAGGCTACAGAGAAAAAGCCTATCTCAAAAACAAAAACAGAAAACAAAAGAAAATTAAAACTTTAACTCTTGGTATATATTAATGTGTCAAAAGCAAAGTGACCATGCTGATAGGGCTATAGACACACAAGAAGGTTCTGAAGTTAGTAAAGGTGAGACACAGTGGGGACTATAATCCTAGCACCGCAAAGGTTTGAGGCAGGAGGATCACAAATGCAAAGTGAGTCTGGGCTATATACAGCAAGACCTTGTATCAAGAAAAAAAGTACTGGGCGTGGTGGAACATGCCTTTAATCCCAGCACTCCGGAGGCACAGGCAGGGGATCCCTATGAGATTGCGGTCAGCCTGGTCTACATAGTGAGTTCCAGGACAGCTGGAGTTACAGGGAGACCCTGTCTCAAAAAGACCAAAAAAAAAAGTTTATATTGTCAGCAAGGATGTATATATATTATACAATGGCAGGAGGGGCTCTAGATGTTGCTCAGTGGTAGAACACTTGTCTGGAATGCATGAGGCCTGGGTTCCCTCCCAGCAGAAATGAAAGAAAAAGGAAACAAAAGCTGAGAAAATGACAATAACCCAAATCCCAGGGAGCAAGTCTCATGGGACTCCATGAAGACAATCACTTGGGAAGAACAGGGAACTAGCACAAGGCAACACAGTGGGCACAAGGAACCGTTAACGACTCATGAAATCAAATTCACCACCTTTTATGTTTTGAAGGAAACACAGTACTTTATTTCATATTTCATATGAATGAGAGGAATCTGCCAATACTACATACATACATACATCTTCCAGGACAGTACCTACATTACAGAAGCTCCACACACCTAAACAAAAGTACTGATCTGAAACAAGGCACGAGTCCCTCTGCAGTGGCTAGATCTGGAGCTAATCAATAGCTATCCAGAGCAAACATACCACCTGCTTTACAACCTACAGAAACAGAGGAGGCCAGGCTGGTTAAAGTGGGGCCAATTTCCACACAGTTCCTTCAACCCTAGAACCCTACACAGGGCAGCCTTCCTCAGCTCAGGCCTGGGACTTTGGGCTCACAGATCCACAGAGCAGGTTTGTCTAGGTTTCCTCATGTGTTCTTTAGAAGAGAGAGACACACCCAAGAAGGAAAAGGTAAAGCTGATGATGGGACTCCAAATGCTATTTCCTTGATTGGGAAAGATTTTGTTTTAACCTGTTCTTTCTTTATAAGGTAATACTGTCATGATACAAATTAACCAACAAACTTGACATGCTAACTTGGAAAGGAACAGAAGCAGAAAAAAGCAAAATGAATTAACAAAATTCTACCAAGAAACAAA